TAAACCCAAAGCCCATTTCCCTGAACCCTAAACCCTGAACCCCAAACCCTAAACCCTAAACCCAAAGCCCACGAAAACCCAAAGGTGCTGGGCTGGATGCATTCAGGAGTGTCGCATATCCTAAACCCGAAACCCTAAACCCTAAAACCCTAAACTGCCCTAAACCCCAAACCCCAAACCCTAAACCCTAAACCCTAAACCCTAAACCCCAAACCCTAAAACCCTAAACCCTAAACCCGAAACCCCAAACCCCAAACCCTAAACCCTAAACCCTAAACCCTAAACCCTAAACCCTAAACCCTAAACCCTAAACCCCCAACCCTAAACCCTAAACCCTAAACCCTAAACCCTAAACCCTAAACCCCAAACCCTAAACCCTAAACCCTAAACCCCAAACCCTAAACCCTAAACCCTAAACCCTAAACCCTAAACCCTAAACCCCAAACCCAATAAGATGCACTCAAAGAGGCCCGTCTCCCCAGCTCACCACGGAGCCATCGCGAAGGACCGCTGCAAAGGACGCTCGGGTTCGAAGGCCCTTCACCTTACGGGCTGAGTTACACTGGGTTTAGGGTTTAGGGTTTAGGGTTTAGGGTTTAGGGTTTAGGGTTTAGGGTTTAGGGTTTAGGGTTTAGGGTTTAGGGTTTAGGGTTTAGGGTTTAGGGTTTACGGTTTAGGGTTTAGCCCAGAGTATGGTACCCAGTCTCTAAGTCACCTAGGTTGGTGCCTGAAAAACCCTCGGAAACGAAAAAAAAGGCTTGAGGGTTTAGGGTTTCGGGATGAGGGCGTTGAGCAAGATCTTCTTATACCATTAGGGAGACAGGGTAAAATGTTCCAAACCTACCTAGTAGCACTTCTGACATTGAGCAGCTGCCCTCGCACACGCGTGGCACCATCCATATCCTCGCCCCACATCACCACTCGCCCGGTGTGAAGGACCGCGGCAAAGGCGTCAGAGCAGGCGGCGAGCTGCTGGACACCCCGAAGCTCACCGCGGATGACATCGAAGTCGCGCACATGCAGGTCATCGCCCCAGCAGACCACCGTCCCGTCGCGGCGGAGCGCAGTGAAGGCCCTGTCAGTGCCAACGATGCTCACCACGTCGGTAAGCTGCCCCTGAGACCCTTCGCTGTCACCCCCCTGTGTCGGAAGGCCCCAAGTCACCACAGTGCCGTCCCTCCGCTGGGCTGCGAAGGCCGTTGAGGTGGACGCAATGTGAACCACGTCGTGCAGCTGGCTCTGCACGTGTCGGCTGTCAGCTCCCATGTGCTCGGGACCTTCTGTTTCGACAGTGCCCCCGCCGTAGAGTCGGGCATAGGCGGGCACACTCCCTGATGTGCTGAAAGTCTGGATCAAAACGGGGACCACCAACGCCTGGAGGACAGTGGTACTTCCCAGCCCTGCCTCTTGCACGGTGCTTTCCGGTGTGAAGGCCTGCCCTTCGAACTCCCGAGCCAGGAGCCACCCCAGCCTCACCTCGAGCGAGAGAGCGTGGGCGTCACGAAAGGCCGTGTCGGCTTGTTGAACCTACGCTGTACGTGCGACCCTCGTTAAGCATTTCGAGTTCTGCTGTTTCTTGCAGAAATATGGATCAAGATTATCAAGATTCAAAGCTATGCTCGTGGTTCTCTTGGGAACGAGGACTGCCAGGGTCGTGTCTTGCGGAGAACCGACTTCCACTTGGACGCACCGGCCGCTCAGTAGAAACACAGGAAGCCGGAGAGGAGCGAGGCTTGCTGCGTGCGAAACATCCATCTCTCACCATGTGCCGGCCATGAAACTCACTACTCAAAAACACATTCCAGGATTCTCCAGGAATCCTCGAGCCCAACCGGAAGGTGTCATGACCCATGGGATCGAGCCAGGTGTGCCAAGAAAACCTAGATGGGACCAGATGCACGTTAGCAGGGCTTTCCACAGCTCACCGCTGCCGACAGGGAGACCTGATGCTTGAAAACTTGTTTACGCCCTGCCCGCTGGTGCAACCCTCCATGTCTCTGTGAAGATGATACTGCTGCTCTATTCGGGTCCTCGCCCGCCAAGAAACTATGACTCATCATTGAGAAAACGGGACCTTGACTGATCCCACCAGTTAGGGTTGTATGGCAGTTGTGCCGAGGACTGCGAAGGACATTTCTGCCGGGCCTGGGCCTGATGTGGCAAAAGCACGAAAAACCCTCTTGTGCAGGGCTTGTACTGTAGGCGTTTACCCCAAACCCAAACAAGTCACAAAGGCTTACGGCTTGCGAGTCACCCCTGCTCCTCATCCAAGTGCATGATCAGGTGCTTGGCGTCCACTAGCGTCACGATTCCATCCAGCGACCTCGTTGAGATGCTCTCGTTGGGATGTTCCCCCTTAGACTAACAGATCCTAGTACCCCTTATTCGAATCCCTATTAAGGACTGTTAGTATAGGGGGGGAACATCCCAATGCTCTCGCGCCATCTTGCGGAAGGAAGATGCTGGTCCTGCCGATCTGTCTATCGACCTATCTTCTATCTATCGGGCCGTCACCCCCCAAGACCCCAAAAGCAAAAACACAACGCAAACCCTACAGTGATGGGTCCTGCCAAGACAACAGGTGAGGGTTAGGGTTTAGGGTTTAGGGCTTAGGGTTTAGGGTTTAGGGTTTAGCGCTGAGGGTTTAGAGTTGAGGCTTAGGCCTTACGTTGATGGTGTACCAGAAAAGGCCCAGAGCTTAGTGCACACCTAGCTGACTCGAAGTCCAAGGTTTGGGGTCACGCCGACATGAGTGTAACTACGAACCGTGCCGCGGCCCGGACAACTTCTGCTGCACGTAGTCGTCGGCGAAGAACGTCTGTGCCTCCACATTTTGACCGCGTACCGGGGGGACGGTGGGGTACGTGCATCAGGGATGCCTACGTCGGTTCTCTGGAGGATTCTAGCATGTTGAGGCAGACCATAAAGCCCTATTTAGGAAATACCGAGTTTCCCATATGGCCTTGGAGAAAGCTAGGAAGCGCAACTCACATCTGCAACGACGACAATGACAGGAGGTGTTAGTGTACATTCGAGTGTGGGGGCTTGGGGTGTCGGAAGTTGGAGTCCAGGCTTTAGGGGTTTAGTGCCTAGGGTTTAGAGGGTCTAGGGTTTAGGGTTTAGGGTTTAGGGTTTAGGGTTTAGGGTTTAGGGTTTAGGGTTTAGGGTTTAGGGTTTAGGGTTTAGGGTTTAGGGTTTAGGGTTTAGGGTTTAGCCGTTCAGGGCTTTTAGGGTTGAGGGGTGAGGCTGCACATGGCTGAGCCTATGAGCTTCTCTCTGAGCCCTCCTAAGCCCCTTGATCGAGGGATGTTGCCTCTTTTACTCACAGGAGGGGGGGGGGGAGGGGGAGGGGGCGGGGGGGGGCGGGGGAAGGGGGGTGGGATGGGGGAGGGGGGGGGAGGGGGGGGAGGGGGGGAGGGGGGGGGGGATGGGGGGGGGGGGGAGGGGGGGGGAGGGGGGGGAGGGGGGGCCAGGCACCTCGGCAACCTTAGCAAAGCCTAGGTCGCCTTAGAAAGTAGCAGGGAGTATTAGAAGCTTGGGTTACACGGCCCCCTTGAACCCTAAACCCTAAACCCTAAACCCTAAACCCTAAACCCTAACCCTAAACCCTAAGCCCTAAACCCTAAACCCTAAACCCTCCCCTAAGCCCTCCCTTACGTACCCCCTTTGAACCCCCCCCCCGGCCCGTTTAAGAGCCCCGCAATCTAACAATTCCAGAAATTGCTTCTGTTGGCCTGGTCGACTCGAAGCCCTCCACTTGGGATGTTCACCCCTTATACTAACAGAGGGTTTAGGGTTTCGGGTTTAGGGTTTAGGGTTTAGGGTTTGGGGGTTTGGGGGTTAGGGTTTAGGGTTTAGGGTTTGGGGGTTTGGGGGTCAGGGTTCAGGGTTTAGGGTTTAGGGTTTGGGGGTTAGGGTTTAGGGTTTAGGGTTTAGGGTTTAGGGTTCAGGGTTGAGGGTTGAGGGTTGAGGGTTTAGGGTTTAGGGTTTAGGGTTTAGGGTTTCGGGTTTCGGGTTTAGGGTTTAGGGTTTAGGGTTCAGGGTTTAGGGTTTAGGGTTTAGGGTTGTCCTTCATAGGGATTAGCATAGGGGGCGCTAGAATCCCTGTTAAGGGCTGTTAGCTTAAGGGGACATCCCAACCCTCAACCCTCAAGACCCTAAGCCTCAAATCCTAAACCCCAGACCTCAAACCCAAAAACCCTGGGCCCTGGACCCTAAACCCTAAACCGTAAACCCTGAACCCTGAACCCCATACCCTGAAACCGTGGATAGGGAGACCCGAAACCCTGGAACCCAACTTGCTTCGCCAATAACCAAAGTGACAAAAAGGGTAAAGCTTTGTTCTTCCTACTACATAAGGAAACCCAAAGAGTTTAAAGTTCAAATCTTGGCCAACTAGACCCTGAACCCTAAACCCTAAACCCGAAACCCTAAACCCTAAACCCCAACCCTGAGCCCAAAACCTGGAACCCCAAAGCTCTTTAGATGCAGGCTCTACCATGGCCCGGACCACAGGAGCCGGGTCGGCTAAGCCGGTGGTTTCGATGATGACCTCAAGGGCTCTAGGGCGGTTTAGGGTCTTAGGGTGTTTAGGGTTTCAGGTTAGTTTAGGGTTTTCAGAGTTTTAGGGTTTAGGGTGCAAGGCCAATTTGAATCGGAAGGGGTATATATCAAAAAGAAACAAGGAGATTCAGAGGGCACAAGTGCGGTTGGCCATCGGCTCTTAGCATCCTTTCTCTTCTTCAGCGGCTGGGTCATAATCACGCTCCTGATCACGGACGTCAGGGTTGAACGCCAAGATGGGCATTTCCCAAAAGAGGGGTACCCCCGTGTATTACCCAAAATAGAATAGAGTCCCCTTAAAGGGACCCCCAAAAAGGGTACCCCTCTTCTTATATAGAAACCCCCATATTGTCTGTGGAGAGTTCGGCTGATCGCTAGCTTACCTGTTCTTTATGGCGGGGTGTAGACTCTGAATGGCACTCGATGGCTTCTGTTTTTCATTCCTTCTTCTGCTTCTTCTCCTTCTTCTGCTTTTTCTGTTTCTTCTCCGTCTTCTCCTTCTTCTGTTTCTTCTCCTTCTCCTTTTCCTCCTTCTTCTCCTTCTTTTCCTTTCCCGTGCACCGCAAGATCTTTTGTAGCCCGCTTCGCAGCTCAAGCCAAACTGCCCCAAGTTCTTGAGAGATCAGAACGGGCCATATGGGCAAAAGCCATGCATTGTGCAACAACGCAAAAAACCCTTTAAAAAAAAACCTGGGAAATGATAGAAAGACATGCCGAAAGACCTGAGACTCTAAAACCCCCTTAGGAGGCCGGGCCCCATCCAGAGGCTTGCTGTTCTTGATGGAGTTCTTCACCTCTGCAGGGCATACTTGGAGGCTCATGGCACTTGTAACCCAACCATAGCTGTACTCATAACCCACTTCTAAGAACCCCTAAACCCTAAACCCTAAGTACAAAACTCTGAAGGCTGAAAGTGCCATTACATGGCTATAACTGAAATAGAGGGGCAGTTTACCATGAACCTCCGAGAGGGCTTAAGTCCTAAACCATAGGCCCTAAACCCTAACCCTAAACCCTAAACCCTAAACCCTAAACCCCAAACCCTAAACCCTAAACCCTTACCCTAAACTCTTAGAACAAAGGCGAGATGGGGTTGGGACTATCTAGGAGTGACCCGAGACCCTAATCCCTAAACAAACTGCCTGCGGGCGTTGGCTGGGTCTTAGGGCCTCAGAGAGGGGCGTCAGTCGACCGACTACATCTCGCGTTGCCTCAAGAGAATATTCGGGAAACTCCTGAAGTAAATCGCTCGTTTCGGAGGTGAGACGAAGCTTTCCATTCCCCTCCACACTTAACTCACGCCCACCCTCTCCCCAGGGCGCCATCTTCTTCAGGCCAGCGATGAGGTCACCCCGGACGGTGCAGCAGATGCAGCCGTTATTCCTGAGATGTGCAGAGGACACAGCTGGGCTTGAGTAGCAAGTTTTCATCCCATGGCGCCGTGCAGCAATGGGGGTTGCCGAAATTAGGGAAACCTCACTGGGGTCCTTCTTATAAGGGAATCCTACTATTTGGGGGGCCCCTTATTTTCGTAAACCCCCAGATGAAGCCGAACAGGCAGCACACACCGTCAAGAGAGCACGCCACGGCTGCCATCATGTGCGCACAAAACCCTGAACAAGCAATACAAAAAAACACAACCCCAAAGCAACCCTGATACCTGAACCTCTAAACGCCTAAAGCCCTAAACCCTAAACGCCAGCAAAGCCCTGATGAGAGCATGTTCTATGCAGCAGGAGCTCATCTCGATGATGTTCTCCTCACGACATGCGCAGATGAGGCAGGGCTTAAGGTTTAGACGTCAGGGTTCAAAAGACTGCCCCACATGTACACTCACCAATAGGTTCAAAATACCAGAGAAAACGCCAACAGCAATACAGAATCTTGACCCGACTTCATACGGTGGAAGATGCCTGAAATCATATCGTCACCATATGACTTAGGTCTATATTGCGGTTGGTGAGTGTAGAGATGGCTGTTTATGAACCTTGGTGAGTGTGTATATGTTGGGTGTCCGTCTGGTGGTCGCTACCCCCTTCGTGCTGCTTGTGCCACTTGCTCTCTATATAACTCTCCATTTGATGAGGTTTGGCGCTGTGTTCTTCGCGACTGCTGCTTGTCCTGGCCCCTCTGATATTCGTCATCAGTGCCGTCCTTTGCTGACCACCTGTCTTTTCATAGCCTGCAGTTTGCTGGTGTTTCTGTCGCTGTGGATGAACCTCGTCTGTCTATGCTGGATGCCATTGTTGAGTCTCTTGTGAGTTCAGTTACTAATCTCAAGTACGATGCTGTCGTTCAGCTGTGCAAGGACAACTGTCGTTCCCCCTCTGCTTTTCCTAACCGGCAGAGAGCTGCTCTTTCCAGGTGGAAATGCCTCATTGGACTTATTGGTCCTTGGCAAAAGGGCAAACATGTGGTCTCCCTTTTGATGTCATTGCTCGGGACGGGTTCTGTGTAGCACTGGCAGGGGGTGGCGAGGGCGAGGGGTGGGGGGGCGGGTGGTGGGTGTGCACCGGATTCTCAAAACAAGATACACTCAACCCCCAATCCTCCGTCGTCAGCGGGCCGGCTTCGATAAGGTTGTCGTCGATGCCGACCTCGTTTCGGAGTTGGGAGACGCGGACTTTTTAGGGCTTAGGGTATAGGGTTTAGGGTGTGTAGGGTTCGGGGTTTACGGTTTTAGAAATGTGTGGGATTTGGAGTTTAGAGGTTTGCAAGCTTCGGGGTTTATGGGGTGTGGGCTTAGGGTTTAGGGTTTGGGGCTCAGGATTAGGGTACAGCTGTTTATAAGTTCAGGGTTTCGGGGTTAAAGACTCAGGGTACAAGGGGGAAGGAGGTTTCTGGGCTTGGGGCTTCGGGGTTCAGGGTTTTCCAGGCTGTAGGGGTTAGGGTCGAGGGGTTCAGGGGGTCCCTGTTAAAACTGCTCCAAACGTACCCTAAGCTTTAGCAAGCTTTAGCCCCTTAACCTCGAACCCTAAACCCCTAAACCTAAAAACCCTAAACGCACACATCCCTCAACCCGAAGCACCAAAACTGGCCGAAACGCCCTGCCTCTCCGAATTCGTTCTCGATGACGGCAATGCGCTTGCCGTGGCATTCCTGGAGGAGCTTGGGTTTGGGGTCTAGACCCCAGAGTATCCTAGGAAGAAAAAGGGTGCCCCATAAGGGAACCTAAACCAACTAAAACAGGGGCCTAGGGGTTTAGGGCTTCGGGTTTTCAACCTTCCGGGTTCGGAATAAGGGCTGCCTGCTACCTCTTGGACAGGGTGTGGTCTGATTCTCGAATGGTACCGTACCTGATTTCACTCCCCCGTACCCCCAAGCCCCTCATCGACCCCAAAATTCCACGAACTTAACGTATCCACCTCCACCCGTCTAACCGGTTCTAAGTAAAACCCAAAAACTAACCGCAAACCCCAAGCCCAAAATCCTTACGAGGCATGTATACGTACATGCCACCATATGTACAACCCTAAACCCGAAACCCTAAACTCCATATGTATATGTGCCGGCCAAACGTCGTGCAGGATCCGATTCAGCAGCGTCGTTTTCCCGCTGCCTGACTTGTGAGGTTTAGGGTTTAGGATGTAAGCCAATTCTTGGCCTTCGGAAGCCAATTGAGGGCCTTCTGAAGGAAATTTTTGGCCTTCTGAAGCCAATTTGAGTCTCTGAACTTTTTGGCCAAGCCAATTTTGGCCTCTGAAGCCAATTGTGGCCTTCTGAAGCCAATTTTGGACCTTCTGAAGCCAATGTGGGTCTCTAAACCAGTTTTGGCCTTCTGAAGCCAATTTTGGTCAATTTTGGGCCGTCTCCAGCCAGTTTGGGCCTCTGAAGCCAATTTGGGCCTTCTGAAGCCAATCTGGGCCTCTGAAACCAATTTTGGCTTTCTGGGGTTTAGGGTTTAGGATTTAAGGCTAAAAGGGGTCTGGGGATATTCTGAAGGTCGCATCCATGCTGGTGACTATGGCTTTTGGAGATTTTATGGGGTGATGGAGGGCTGAGCACTTAGGGTTTAGGGTTCAGGGTTTCGGGTTTAGGGTCAATGCTAACCCACAATAGCCACACTAGCTCTTAAATGCTCCCTATCTTAACCTTTCTTCGGGGAGTGATTCACTAGGGGTGGGGAAGGATGGTTGCACAGCAAATGGCCCCAGAAGTAGAGGCCTGAGTCTGAAAACCATAACCCCTAAAAAGCCTGGGTGCCCTCCCTAAACCACCCAAAAAACCCCTAAGCCCCAAACCCTAAACCCTCTAAATCAAGAAATCCAAACAAGACCTCAACCGCGAAGCCTCAAAACAATCACAAACCCGATCACCCTCCCAGAGCCCCCGGCCGAGGAATCCAGTAAGCACGGTCACCGGCACCTGCACATATTTGTTATATGTATGCATATGTGTATATAAATATATATATTTGTATATATGTATAAATATATATATATATATATATATATATATATAATACACATAATTGTAATGCTATATGTGTATATATATATATATGCATGTATAGGCACATATATGTATATACTTCCTACATCATCTATATTCAACATACATATGTGTACATCCTTATATTATATTCATAGGCGTCATCCGGAATTTTTGTCAAGCCCTACACACCGCAGGGATTCTGCCCTGTGGGCCCCTGGGACCCAGAGAAGCTGTCTTCCGAGCCAGAAACACCATTTAGGGTTTGGGGTGCGGGTAGCTTGATGCTTGGTCTACCTGACCATTGTCGAGGCCATGTTTGGTATAAACAAAAGGATTTTCTCCGAAATGGTGTTCCTGAAGAGGCCCGCAAGCTAGCTCAGACATCAACCATAGGCCTTCAATCGCAAGATGCCTTTTTGCTTGTAAACCAAAGAAGCGCGAACAGCCTCCCTCAACCCTGAACCTGCCTCAACCTCTAAATCCACCCCAGCGCCTATTTGGGGTTTTGGGTTTAGGGTTCAGGGCTTGCCGGTCGGGGTATTCAGAATATCTCGGCTTCCCCATCCCAACAACTCCAAGAGCACCTCCTCGAAGGCCTAAACCCTAAACCCTCAACCCTCAACCCTAAACCCGAAGCCCTCAACTCTCAACCCTCAACCCTCAACCCTAAAGCCTAAACCCTAAACCCTCAACCCTCAACCCTAAACCCTAAACCCTAAACCTCATACCGGCACCTTGCTGGCAGCCTTCTTGCCTTTCACGGCCGCCTCGGACCCAGAGACTCCACTTCCACTTAGGGTTTGGGGTTGAGGGTTTAGGGTTTAGGGCTAGGGTTTAGGGCAGGGTTTAGCGTTAAGGTTTAGGGTAGGGTTAAGGGCTAGGGTTTAGGGTTTAGGGTTTATGCTTTAGGGTTTAGGGTTTAGGGATTAGCGTTTGGGGTTGACGAAGTGTTTGCATATTTGCAAAATGCAAGACAGGGATCTCCAAGAATTCTTTGGTGCTCGAGGTCAGATCCTGAAGCTGTTCTCAAAACCCTAAACCCTAAACCCTAAAAACCCGGGCCCCAAGTCCGCAAGTGAGAGTTCGGGATCCCAGCGCCCGCATGACAGCGCAGGGCCGGGGTTCAGGGTGGGGGGGCAAAGCTGCGGCCAAAACACCTAGACCCCCCAACATAAGGTTTAGGGTTAAATTAGGGTTTGTAGGGTTGAGGGTTTTAACCGCCTGGACTCCAAACACTGCTTGCAGTTCTGAAGACGTGCATGGTTTCGGGCTTAGCGTCTGGGGATGTTTAGCTTTTAGGTGATTGCTCTGCATGCTTTTCGGAGCAGGCTGGGGCTCGGAGTCCTACAGTCCGAGTTCGTTGGTTGGGGGGGCTTCACGCTAAGCCCTAAACCCTGAACCCTAAACCCCCACAAACCCCCAACACCCGAGCGCTGGCCTGTGCCTGCGTAACTTTCTCCTTCAGAGCCGCGTCGCTGCTTCCTAAGGCCTGGAAGTTTGATAGGGTTTAGGGCTTCGGGTTTAATTAGGGTTGAGGGTTGAGGGTTGGGGATTGGGGGTTTAGGGGTTCGGGTTTAGAGTATAGGGTTTAGGGTTTAGGGTTTAGGGTTTAGGGTTTAGGGTTTAGGGTTTAGGGTTTAGGGTTTAGGGTTTAGGGTTTAGGGTTTAGGGTTTGGGGGGGTTATGGATTTCAGGTGTTGAGGTTTCGGCCTTTGGGTTTGGGAGCGCGAGGTGTCTCAGGTCAGCTTCTGTGTGCCGGTGAGACAGGTTCGTGACTTGGCACATGGGGGTTAAGAGGATGGGGTTCACTCTAAACCCTGAACCCTAAACTCTAATCCATAAACCCTAAACCCTAGTACAGTTTAGGGCTTTCAAGCACTGAACCCGCAACCGCTGTGCCAAAACCAAAAAACCCAATACCCTAAGACCCAAGCCCCAAGACCCTAAACCCTGAAAGCCCCAAACCTCCAAACCCCACACAGAAGGGTATGTGGGAATAATCAGAAGTACACTGGGTATGCTCAACATTTTGGAGTGGGGGGGGGTTTTAATGCGCGGGGTGTGGAGACACTGCCCAGAAGCCGATTAGCCCAGGCCCCAGACCCCAAGCCCTGAACCCCAAACCATGAAAATAGCCGTTTCACTTGCGTCAACCCTTGGCCCCAAAACCTAGTCCTAAACCCTAAACCTAAACCCTAAACCCTAAACCCTAAACCCGAAACCCTAAACCCTAAACTCCTTTTCAGTTCTTCAGCTTCCGTGGCCTGCGCACACTCGTAGTCGGTGGCGGCACGCTTGTTGGCGCCCAGGCCCGTGATGATGTCACCGCGGATCTGCCAAAGGCACTCAGCCAACTTCAGAGATTTTAGGGCTTTCAGGCTTTGAGGCTTTAAGGGTTTTGGGTTTGTGTTTAGAGTTTTTCAGGGTTTTAGGGTTTGAGGGCTTTAGTGCTTGGAGGTTTACGAGTTTCGGGGGTGTAGGGTTTATCCTGCGGACGATCCATGCGAGAGGCAAGCAAAGATGTCGAACGGAGACTTAGGACAAACGAATTATGAATTCGCACGTCGTTTTTCGTACGTATCGGTTCCATCCTTCAGTGGGATGGACAATCGGGACATCACATGGAATTTGCCTGTTCGACAGGAGCCGAGGGGCTTTTCATAGCAGGGGTTTAAGGTTTTGGGTTTACGGATACAAACATCGAAACCTGAACACCAGATCCTAAACCGCAAACAGCCTCGTACATCTCTCGGAGGATATCCTGCACTTCTTGCCACGGGATCGTCGGGTCAGGATTTGGGTGTCGGACATGTGAGGGTTGCTTTCGCTTTGGCATGTAGCACTGCAGACTTCAAGAGATGAGAATGAGTGCCTCAATTCGAAGACTTTTTGCCCAAAACCTGCAAAACTCTAAAGCCCAAAGTGGGGGTTTCCGACGTCTGGGATGCCCTTTCTGGGGGGTCTAAGGGGATTCTATTCTATTTGGGGTGTCAAAGGGGCAGCCCAGTTTGGAAATACCCAAGTAACAGGGCCCAAGAATACTACCTCGTTTTAACCAAGGGAAGATCCCATAAGTGGAACTCAAGTTAGGGGAAGGTACTAAACCCTCAACAAGCCCTCTAATGGTTTCTAAGCGCCCCGAACTCCCCACTGAAGGATTGAGTTAAGAGCTTCGGGCTTAACAGGGATTTGGACTTGTAAGGGGTAAGTACACCAAACCCACTCCAAACCCTATAAACCCTATAAACCCTAAACCCTCGAAACCCTCTAAGCCCTCCTCCAACCCCTCTAAACCCTAAACCCGAAAACCTACTTACTTGTATTCCCTTAAGAGTCCTTTAAAGAGAGGTCCCATGGCCCACCTTAAGGGTCCAAGGTAATCTCCCTTCAGTTTAGGGTCAAAAACCCTGACCCCTAAATCCTAAACCCTAAACCCGAAACCAAAAACCCTAAACCCCCAAGACCCGGTCTTGGGGGACTCCTTCTGCTCCTGCGAGATCTTGGGTCCGATCTCGGAGACGAACGCGGAAGGGTCCTGCCCGGAGGCCCCAGACTCAGGGTTTAGGGTTTAGGGTTTAGGGTTCAGGGTTCAGGGTTCAGGGTTCAGGGTTCAGGGTTTAGGGTTTAGGGTTTAGGGTTTAGGGGTTTAGGGTTTAGGGTTTAGGGTTTACAGTTTAGACCCTGGAACCTGATTCAAGATTATTCCACAGCGTATTCCTTGGATTGCGGACCTTGGAATCTCTGCGTGCTTGCGGCCACTCGGCGCTCCAGCTTCCGGGTGTGTTACTGCTTCTTAGTATCACATGTGGCAACCCTAACCCTAAACGCTAAACCTTCAAGGTTTAGGGTTTAGGTTTAAGGGATTAGGATTTAGGATTTACTATTTAGGGGTCATGAAGATCTTCATACTGCTTTGGGGCTTAATTCTCCGTGTCGCACGCCCCGCTCCTTCACAACTTTGTCGGACTCGTCTCCGAGCACCTGACCAGGTTTTAGGGTTTAGGGTTTAGGGTTCAGGGTTTAGGGTTTAGAGTTTAGGGTTTAGGGTTTAGGGTTTAGGGTTAAGGTTTAGGGTTTAGGGTTTAGGGTTTAGGGTTTAGGGTTTAGGGTTTAGGGTTTAGGGTTTAGGGCTTAGGGTTGAGGGTTGAGGGTTGAGGGTTTAGGGTTTAAGGTTTAGGGTTTAGGGTTTAAGGTTTAGGGTTTAGGGTTTAGGGTTTAGGGTTGTTCCCCCTTGTTCCAACAGTCCTTCATACCCCCTACACTAGCAGTCCTCAAAGGGGATTATAGCAGGGGGGTACAATAATCCCTACTAAGGACTGTTGGTATACGGGGGAACATCCCAAGTTCAGGGTTTCAAGGAGTGCCAATCCTACCACCCTAGCTGCTCCCGCAAGCAAGGCCCAATGTTCCTTCGATGCTTTGTCGAATTTTGTAGGGGAAGGACCAAACCCGCAAAAAGCTCTGAACCCTAAACCCCCAAAAAAGAGATAGTTCACATGGGAGTAGCAGGGGATGCCATAGCTGACGCCTTTCAAGCAAAGGTAGGGCTGCAACAAACCTCAATTGAGCAACCCTTCTTTAGGGCTTGGGGTTTCGGCAGCCTTCCATGGTTTCCAGCCAACCCATCCATACTAGCTCTGATGGGAGGCAATGGTCTGCACGACCACGCCTATACCCTATAAAACCTTAGAGTGGAACCCGAAAGAGAAAAAACCTTTCCTTGAACTCTTGAACCCTCCTAAACTCTAAATCTGCCACCCAGTTTAGGGTTTAGGGGTTTGGGGTTTTGGGGTTTACAGTTTAGGGCCAAACCTGAAGTCGCAGTTGCGACTGCGAGTTCTGCTAAGTCGGGCCTTGGCATAGGCCTCCATGCACGCGTTGATGAACCTGCTCTCTTTGGGTTTAGGGTTCTACGGCTCCTGAGCCACCCCAAAACCCCAAAGCCCTGGTCCCAAAAACCCCTGCAAGCTCGCAATCGCAAAAAGACTTCAAGCCTAAACCATGAACCTCTATACCCCGCTAACCCCTTAAGCCCCAAAAAGCTTGAAACTTGAAAACCTTAAAAGCCTGAGGGCCCTGAAAGGTCAAAATGCAAAGCTTGCAAACCTGAAGGCCCCCCAAACAAGCATTGACAAACCTCAAAACCATGAGAGAAAGGCCTTGTAACAACCCCCCCCCTAAAAACGAATTTACAAAACCTTAAAACCATGAGAGGAAGCTTCAAACGACGAGAAGTCTCCAACTTCCCTGCCCATCTTTAAGAGGTTCATGTCATGGGTGGAGCTTGTGCAAAAATCAGAGCCCAAACCCTACACCCCAAACCCTAAACCCAAACCCCACACCCTAAACCCGAAATGCTAAACCCTAACCTTGCCAAGGTTGGTTCTCGGTGCAGAAACATAGACCCCCAAAGCTTCAGCCCCCTTGAAGCCTCTGCTTAAGCAGCGGACCGTAAAGCCCGATCCCCGCTAAAGCCCTGAAAAACCCTCAAAGACAGCAAACTCTGAACGCTTAAACCCTGCGCCCTGAACCCCTAAACCCTCGGCTCTGAAGAACCCAAAGCCTTGAATTAGTCCAAACCCTAAACCTTAAACCCTAAAAACCCTGAACCCTTAAGAAGGCTATATAGGGGAATAAGATTAAGGGTGCCTTGTAGGAGTCTCTCCTTATACCCCTGAACTCGAAACTAAGACCTAAACACGCTAAACCCTCAAGAACGGTCAACCTCCAAGTGCGGGCAAAGCGGCTGAACCCCATCGAAGAATTTGCCATCCTTCAGTGCCTTGGGCAGGTTTGCGAAGGGTTTAGGGTTTAGGGTTTAGGGTTTAGGGTTTAGGGTTTAGGGTTTAGGGTTTAGGGTTTAGGGTTTAGGGTTTAGGGTTTAGGGTTTAGGTTTTAGGGTTTAGGGTTTAGGGTTTAGGGTTTAGGGTTTAGGGTTTAGGATGGTTTAGGGTTCAGGAACGTTCTAGGATTTGGGGCTTCAAACTGCGGCGAACCCACAGCCTTGCGGTGGGCTGGTGCTCGGGAATGCACACCTAAACCCTAAACCCTAAACCCTAAACCCTAAACCCTAAACCCTATATCGTTACATAGATGCGTAATGTTCGCATCCGGTGGACACCTCCCACCCTCATCATATGTCAATAAAAGGAATGAGGTCTGAGTCGATGTACTGGATGGGATGCCAAGACCTGTGCATAGATGAGGGTTTAGGGTTTAGGGTTCCGGGGTTTGGGGTTTAAGGTTTCGGGGTTTAGGGTAAACATGGCAACTATCCACATGCTTCAACTCTTCGCATGGACATGCAGAGTGCTTGCTGAGTAACCCCGAAGCAGTAACTCAACACTTTTCTAAGGCCTTGAACTTTCCTTTAAGGCTTCGGCTTCTAGGGTCTACGGTTTACTCTAGGGTTTAGGGTTTAGGGTTTAGGGTTAGGGTTTAGGGTTTAGGGTTTAGGGTCTAGGGTTTTGGGTTTTGGGTTTGGGGTTTAGGGTTAGGGTTCAGGGTTTTGGGTTAGGGTTTAATTAATTGCAGTTGAGTGTAGGGGAATGAAAGGATGCCATTTACAGGGCTTGGAGCCCGTGCCCAAAGAAAGAACAAAAGCGGAACCCAGGGAAAAGCCTTGAAAGCAAGAGGCCAAACCCTAAAAATCAAAAAAACACTAAAGACCCTAAAGACCCTAGAAACCCTTTAATAATGCTAAAAGCCCTAGAAGCCCAAAAACACCAAACCCCAAAAAATCAAAAAAACATACAAAAAGCTCTAGAACCCCAAACCCTAAACCCTAGATCCTATACCCGAAACCTAAACCCTAAACCCTGAACCCTCAACCCTAAACCCTAGTCGCCAAACCCTAAGCCCTAAACCCTGAAACCATATGGGCTGCGAATCGACCTGGGAGCCACACGGCCTGTGCAGAGGCAAATCCTGGCAGAAAAATCAAGGCGATGTGGTTTTCGTCTAGGGGCCTTAACTAATCATTAGAACAGGGTTTAGGGTTTAGGGTTTTAGGGGTTTTGGGGGGTTTTGGGGGTTAGTACAATATACGTGTACCATAAGGGAAAACACTAGTAGTATTGTTCCGACCCCCTCTTTTCGGCTGCAACCGCCCACCTTCCGCCCAGCCTTCCGCCATGGAGCAGACAAGTTCTTCAACGCCGCAACCCGCAACTCCAAACGTGATGTCTTCGGACAACGACTTGTGAACAGAAAACTCTGAAAGACCCAGCTAGGCGCTGCTAGATGCTTCGGCACGTCGTCCGCTGAGCCGAGATGCAAGTTATGTCACGGATGCAGTTTGGCTCCCAAGCTGGACTGATAGTCGCCTTAAAAAAAGCGTTGCACCAATCTCAGACGCCATCTGCATCGTGTGTTCCTCCTGAAGGCGGTAGGCACCAGCGGTACTTCAATCCAGAAAAAACCTCCGAAAACCTGCTGCAGCTTGCAGAGCCCGACATGTTCAAAGCTGGATGTGCCTGACATCCCTGGGAGATGGCATGTTGGCATCAAATTCCCGCAGCAAACTCGCAAAGATATGATTAACCCTATCGTGGAGGCAAAGCACTCGAACGTTGCATGCACAAGTCAAGAAAACGTTCACTAGCTTGAAAGCTCTTCTGATCAACATGTCTTTGTCTGCAACTGGCGCCCGCACATTGTTTGCAGCAGCTTCTCAAAGTTGAATTGCTAATACAGCTTTAACAAAGGATGCCAAGCAGTCGAATACACGACGCAATGATTTGCTTTGGAAAATGGAAAACACCGGACCCACAAAACCCGAAACCATCATAAACCACACATACGAGAAGGTTTATGACACGTGCTGAAAATCGTTTTCCAGGCCGTGCTTTGTGAGCTCGTCGTACTATTTGGCAATGAAAATCTATTCAAGTTCTAGTTATGTTTGTCTTGAACATTTAAGATTTAAAATTTTTGAATCAAGATTTGGGGATCACAGTGTTGAGGTAGGGGCTTCAGACTCATGGGCTTTTGGACGTTTACAGCATTACTGAAATCAAAATCGTGCCAAAAACTTCATAACATTTTCGACGTCGTAGCATTTGAGATATATAGAAGTAGGTCAGAAGGTGGAGGACTGATAAATGGGAGAAACAATTCATAAGACTTTGGATTCATGTGACATGGGGTTCGAATTTTATCCACATAAGATTCAAGGCTATAGAATAAAGATTCAACGTGTCTCTGTCCGTACGGGGGAAACCTTTCGTGCCGGCAGGAGTCCACCCAAGCCCAAAAGTCGCATAAGCGGCAATGCTTCTCCTAGAGATGCGTCCAGAAGTCCCTGGCTGCTATTGTGACCCAGACTACTGGCTGGCAGGATTACTGCTAGGCTATAACGTCCATATAAATGCACCTCCGAGCAGAGCGGCGGCCTTACCGGTGCTGGTGGGTTCCCCGGGCTGCCACAACCATAACGAAAGCATGGAAGATACCCGCAGAGGTCCCCTCCTGGAGATACAGCTAAATGTGCCTCCAGCCGCAGCTGTTGCTTTTCTTGCGGGTCGAGCGAACCTTCATCCCCCCTGCCCAGGTACACGTCTGCGCAATCAGAATGACTCACGAGAACAGCCAATCCATGGACAAGTGACACCGAGCATGCTCAATGCCTGGGCTCATGCTGGTGGTACTTTCACAAAATTAATGCCTTCGTCCGCGTGCCAATCGTCACGCCTTGGTGCCTTGGGGATAGAACATACCGCAGCTTGAATCCCGCTGCTTTCCCACTGAATTTCCTTGACGTAACCTGCTGCGGCGATTGCCAGCCATCAGATCGAACGCTTCTCGGCTAATTGGCCTGACGTCAAGTCAACTGGCCACATTGCATCCTGTCGGGTTGTCCCTTTCAGTGGGTAAAAGAGAACGTGCCAATTCCCACAAACACCAGAGATGTAGTCAGTCAAGAGTGACTCTTCAAGTCTGCCACACGCGTTGTTTGTTCCCGACTGGAGACTCCAGGAGTTTCAATGGAGAGCAATAATCCAGAAAATGCCCAGACTAAGACAGAAATGGCCAGTTACTGGGAATCTCAGAAAGCAAAAAAAGAAGTGACCGGCTTAGGAGGAACCAGCCCAAACCAGGGCAAAAGTCCGCGCAGAAGCTAGAAAGATACAGTGTTTTCCTCGGACCTCGTAAGCCAAGTGACCGAATTCTTTCACTTTCTGCCTGGAGCCTGCAGTCTCAAGGCAGGGACAGAATGAACTCTGGCTAGCGATTTTCACCGTCTGCTGACACGGATACACACCGCGCAGCTCTCACATGCCTGGAGAATAGAACAGGCTGAAACTTTTTGTTTTAAGGCCAAATTTAATTTGCACACATGCATGCCACCGAACCAAAGTGGGCACGACTTGCTGGTCTAAACGGCTTATATTTTGCAGCGTGTCGTTTGGGTGCTTCTTTTCTGTGCTCTTGGCGAGGCTTACACCCTCGTGAGCGCATCAGAAACCTTAACCAGTCCACAGGCGCAACGTTAAAAAGAGCCTGCAGGCTTGCAATTTTGGTGTCGAAGTGCGTTTTTCTCAAACTGATCTTGCTTGTTTGGCCCACTTTCCTTTTTTGGCCACTTTGAGAGGGACCTGTTTTGCTCTTTGCACTTAGTAAAAAACAGAATGTGTCTTGTGGTGTTTGTTGCCTGGCGTGTCGTTTTGCGTGCTGTGGTTGTTTTCACTTCCAACTCAACTTACAGCTGACGCAGTAAAAAGCCCATTTCAAAAAAACGTCAACGCTCGGAGAGTGAGGAGAAGCCGTAATGGGTCGTCCCATGCCGAATTGTTAGACTCCTGGATTGGCCACCAAGAGTTGAGGCGCCGTGCAATTCAGCAGAGCGGAGAGGTCAAGGAATTTAGCGAAGAAAAAGATCAGCAATTGTGCTGAGCGGCTGTTAAGAATCCATAGCCAATGATGGACTCCTGCAAACCGCCAAGCGCAAGGCCTTGGCGCTGGAAAGTGTTTCCAGCGGGAACATTTCCAAGCTCGCAGGCGCATGCACAGGTTGATCATGGGCGTATGGATCAGAAGATACGATGCAGGAAACGTTTCTGGAAGGAAGAGCAGCTAGTTAGCGATCTTCAAAAGTTGATCCAGGTCCGACAGAAATTGCGGCATGTGGATGAATGTCTCATTGCTGCTCAGGCGTGGTCAGGTGGAGGAGAGCAGTTCTTGGACGGCTTGCTAATCTCTGGGAGACCTCTACAACACCACCCGAAGCCCTAACCCCAAGCCCCAACCCTAGGGAATCGGTCGAGGTCCCGGCTCTCGTCGATCTCCTCCAGTGGCCATCCACCCGCTCTCCTTGGGCAACACCCTGTGCTCCTCTTTGGGCCCCTTGTGAGCAGCAGTTTCAGTGAGGGGCGAGCGGTCAACTCGTGCGCAGACCGTCGGAAGTCTGAGGTGTTTGCTGCCTGCTTCTTTGAAGGGCTTGGGGGGGCAGGGCCCCACGGCAGCCTAGTTCCACAGGGAAAGGGGGGCTATGTTCTTTGAGGAAGGGTGTTGGGCTCTTTGGGACCATGTAGGGCTCCTGCCTCCAGTGAGGTTTCACCACGACTTCGACGTCAACTCCGCGCAATTTGCGCTCTTGAACTCACTGAAGGTCCTGGAACCCCAACCCAAAAAACCCTAAACCCTAAGCCCAAAACCCTCTTAACAAGGCCAGTGCATGGCCCCCCCCCCCCTGCCCGCTCCCCTCCTCTAGACCCTTGGTTGGGCCCCCCCCCCCCACAAGTTCAGCTTCTTCAGCTTAGACGGGGGCGGACGGGTCGCCTCGTCGTCGCGTCGCCTCCTTTTCCACGCCGGCTCTTGGGGTAACATTTTGGAGGGCTGGAGGGACTGGCTGCAAGGGCTGAGGCAGGAGGGTGGCTGCAGAGGCTGCAGTGGCTGCAAGGACTGTAGGTGGGGCAGGCCGGCTGCAGGGGGCTGGGCTGTAGGCTGGCCTGGACCTGGGGCTGGCTGCAGGGGCTGCAGAGGACATTTGGGGGTAACATTGGGGTAACGCCGGTTCAGGGGTAACATTGGGGTAACGGGGCTCTGGGGGTAACATTCGGGCATAACGCAGGGCTCAGGGGTAACATTGGGGTAACGCGTGCTCAGGGGTAACATTAAGGGTAACGCGGGCTCTGGGGGTAACATTGGGGTAACGGGGGCTCTGGGGGTAACGTTGGGGTAACGCGGGCTCAGGGGGTAACATTGGGGTAACGCCGGCTCAGAGGTAACATTGGATCCGGGGTAACATTGGGGTAACGCGGGCTCAGGGGTAACATTGGGGTAACATTGGGGTAACATTGGGGTAACATTGGGGTAACATTGGGGTAACATTGGGGTAACGCGGCTCTGGGGGGAACATTGGGGGTAACATTGGGGTAACCGCGGCATCCGTAGAGATCGGAAGCTGCAGGAGCTTGGTGGGATTAGGCCCTCCAAGCTCTCGCGTTTCTGAAGTGCCAGGAGAGGGCGGTGAATCTTAGGGCTACTGAGGGCCTGGTCAGGCTAAGAAGGTGAAGGTGAAGGGCCTCTAATCTCGTCGCCGCGTCGTCGCAACGTCGCCTTCGTCGCATCGTCGCCCCGTCGTCGTCGCTGCGTCGTCGCTACGTCGCCATCGTTGCACTGTCGCCGCGTCGTCGTCGCATCGTCGTCACGTCATTGTCGCCGCGTCGCCGCTCACTCCCAGCCGAGGTGCCCTCACTAGGTGCCCTCACTCCCCGCCCACTAGGTGCCCTCACTCCCCGCCCCAAGGTCTAGGTGCCCTCACTAGGCGCCCTCACTTCCCGAGGAGGTGCCCTCACTGGGTGCCCTCACTTCCCGAAGGCCCCGCCGTGTCGTCGTCGCGTCGTCGTCGCCTCCTCGCATCGCACTGTCGTGTCATCCGTCTGCGCCTCTATCCTCACAGCCTCTATCCTCACCGCTATCCTCACCCGTGTCCTCATCCCCGGACCACAGTGCTGGTCGTCGCGCCGTCGTGTCGCCGTGCCCGCCCCTATCCTCACCGCTATCCTCACCGCCCGGTCCTCACCACTCGTCGCCGCGTCGTCGTCACGTATACCGCTATCCTCACCGATCCTTGGGGGAGAGCATGAGGCGCTGCAGCGACTGTGAGGGCCTCGGGGGCTGCAGCGAGGCCCG